GAAGCATCTGCCGAAAAAACCGATGCCGGTAGCGACAAAAACTGCGGGGAACTCTGCAAAAAAAAACGCATCTTCGCACGGGCAGCCCGTGCGTTGGCCAATTTTTTTGAGTTTTAAATAACCTACTGCAGTGTCTTAAAAATCTTTTCAAACTCTGGCTGAAATGTTGAAAATTTAAATTATTTTTGCATTTTGCAATGTTTCACTTACTACAGGCGCCATTTGCAAGTTTCATTTGCCGGATAAGCTACGTAACCGTATGCAACATGCCGATTCTACCCCAGAAGTTTGTCCAGCAGCAATTCAGAATTCGTCGTGCCTCAACATTACCGAGTCACTAATAGCAATTGCCAGGGAAAATATGTGCTCGAAAGTGGGCTTATTTTACACCGATGAGTGCATCTGTACAATATGCGAAAACTTATTTCAAATAGCCATCGTGCTGCCCAGAAATCCACAGGTAATTAACTGCTCAGAGATTGCTCCCAGCTGTAGCTGTTCCTGACTCACTTCGGCTTTAGGACTTGCTTCTAGCGTTGCAAGTGCCAGGGATAGTGCGTCTTTACATCGAATAGCTTGCCGCTAAAATGATGCGCTTCCCGTCTGATGTCCCTTTTGGTTAAATTTTATTTTTGACGTTTTCTTTTTCTACAGCTATGTTTAAAAAATTCTTCGAACAAAAGAAGCGAGAGTGATATGTCCGTACAACCCCTTCCCCCGAACAGTAACGAGGATTGTTTTCCAATAAGTGTAATAACAAGGAACCACCAAAATAATAAAAAATGTCACATTTAAAAAGTAATGTTCGTAGTGTTTTCAAGTTAATGAGACTACGCAGTTTTGGAAAGAAGTCCCAGTTAAGCGACGCCGAAATCAAAGTAAATTTCCCCAGCTCAAATCACAAATACTGTCAAGGCTAAAAAATTTTGCATAATTCAAGAGAGTTCAAAATCAGTAAACAATACAAGGCGCTGTAGGTTTTTTGGCAGCGGCACATTTCAAAGTACTCGTGCACCAAAATTTTGTCCATGCAACTTGCTGATATCGGTATTTACAACCGAAAGTGCAAAAGGCGGCAAATAAAAAATAAGAGGAAAAAAATTCCTTTTTTGCAGAGCATATTTATGAAGCGTCTACGACTGTATTGCGCATCGCTGGAATTCCTGGACCCGCCATGCAATATGATTGCGGATCAGTACGACAAACAAATCTATGAGCTGTCAGCGGCGAATAGCAACGAAACGACCACCTTTTTGCAGCAGTGTCAAACGCTGACTCTTTGTCGCTAACGTATTTGTCGCGGCGATTCAGCGTTTAAAATGATTCGTCAGAAACTTGAAAATAAAATAGTGCAATATCTGAAGTGCAGACAGGCAACCCAAAAAACCGTTAAACGGTACGAACAATCCGCGAAGGATCCCGTATCACTGGAACTATCCTATACATATGGCGTAGCAATCCAGGTCTTTTCTATCCTGAACTGCATAGATCCCGCTTCTGGTTACCAGTTATTCGTTTATTCCCAAGACAATCATTTAAAGTGAATATTTTTGGTGTTTCTGCTCATCCACTTCTACACGCTTAATGAGCAAACTACACAAACGCAACCTGCCAACTCAGCACCTGAATGAGCAGTTAAACTACGCGGAACCCGAATTGGCCTAAACGATATACACTGCCGGATAAATTGCATGAGCAGACCAATATTAGATGTCACTTATCAAACTTGAGCATATATTATCACTTATACTGCTTGGGCAAACAGATCGTCGCAAGACAAATTATTTTTATTTTTACGGGAATGAATCAAATCAAATGTAAAAAATTCGAGGTGTTTGTAAAAAAACATGCAACAATATTACCTTACGAACCAAAACTTTTTGAAAAACAGTACAAAGGTATTTAAGCCAGCATAATTTGTATGAGATGCCCACAAACTGTATTAATAGCAGCAACAACAAAAAATATGTAGTAAAATTTATGCATTTTTGGTCTCGTCAAGGAAATTTAGACACAGCTTGTCAAAAATTTATTAAAAACTGGGAAGAACTGACTGGAGTAAAATCGTTCCACTGAAAACTCTTCACCGATAATTTTCATGAATACAAAACAGACGCAACAAGAAACTGTAGACACACTCAGCACATGCAGTCAGTGCTGAGTGGAAGTCTAAAAATCGGGGATTTCAAGTAAAATAAAAAGTAGTGCGCGGCAGAACATGACATTCTTTCAAATTAAATTCTAATGAATGAAACTATCTGGAAACGCACAATCTATGTTTTACTGACAACTGTTTTCACTGAATTTCTTCATTTATGGTTTCCACAACTTCAACAAGCCATCGTCTGCATAAGATGCTATCAGATTTTGATGCGGATGATGACAGAGACCATTAACTCGATCGTCATGCAACTGCAATTGAAATGTAAGCAAAAGCACTGGGAATTCTTAAAAAAGAAATACTATGCCCTGAAAAAGCCCATGTCTGTCAGACAAACGTTAATCGTATTTCAAGCCTTTTGCCTGTCAACAATTACGAACGACACACATACTTTTGTTTACAGGAAATTACGTGAGCAAAAAACCGAAAATAAGCTGACAACTGGAAACCTAAAATGGACAAATGATGCCGTGGAAAAGGCGCACATTTCTAACTGACTTTATGTCTTGATTAATATTTAAGGAAGATTAACTATTATAGCAGGATTGGAAATTAAGAAAAACAAAAAATCTGTAAGTGATTCAAGTCATGTTCCAATCTCCAAGGCGTAGACACTCGAGAATTGCCCTAATAATAACACTGTGCTAACAGTAACGGTCCTCTGATAAGGTTCCTTTCAACAAATGGATGTATCAAAATACAAATACACTTCTGTGTCAGGCCAGATAAACTGATACACAAACTTGCCCGAAATAAGTGGAGCATAAGAAATAAGTGAAAAATCTGTACGAATCAGTTTTTGCGCAGCATGGAAATCAAGAACGCACGAGGTGAACTGAAATGAACTAACCGGCAAAGTACTTTCCAGATTGCCTAAAACCAATGAGAAACAATAGAGCACATTATCCTCGCCAACACAGTACACCCAGTCGCCACGAGGTGACACCGTACAAGCAACAAAATTGCCCTTTTCCGTTTTTCCCGAAGTCATCGACTTAACGATCTAAAACTTAGAACAGATAAACTACAAATGTTCACTTTAAGGTACGGACATTATTAAGTGTTTCGCGCATTCATGCAATCCATGGTGTGCGTTTCTGTCTGTCTGTCTGTCCGTGGGCGATTGGATAAGCTTAGAAGCTAAAATCTCGCCAATGAGTTCCCTAGCCAGGCGCGGCCTCAGGAACATGTGCATGTCTGAGTCTCATCTGCAGACACGTAATAATTGGTCAACGCGCGGGCTGCCCGTGCGAAGATGCGTTTTTTGTATAGCTTCCCGTAGATTTTTGTCTCCAATGGCACTGGTTTTTCCGGCAGATGCTTCTAGCTAAAAGAATTTCA